CTAAATTTAACCAAACTAATTAGTCCACAAGTTTATAGACATCACAAATATATACTATAAATAGAGTATATTATTATAATTTATATACACGAATACACTATGACACTTTTAAATGTAATTTTTTGGGCAAAAATGACTATAACCTACTGCTGTACTAATGCTTAATAATCTGCAGTCTGCACTTTGTTCCGGTGATTTTACACGTAATATAATAAAATTGATACTAGTGATTTGTACCCGATTGTTAAATTCAATTATTTACAAGATTTCAATAAAAAAATATGTATGAAGTATAAACATCCGCATTTCTATTAACTATAAATTCTTAATTGTATGAGCCATACATATAACATATATTTTTCGAAATAATTATTTAATGTGTCACGGGTTGATCTAGCAACTGACTGCTACGACAACTGTGAAATTTTTTAAGCATAATCCGTTTTGATAACATCCAGAAAAGAGTTTGTCTTAAGACTGTCTGTCTTGATAACAACTAATTTAATTTAAAGTGTATTTTTATATTATATGATAATGGAAAATAATAATTATAGTAAAATATATAATTGCAAAACATTTAATATCTAGCCATATAGGGTATAAACTACACTAAAAAAATTGTGAGTATGCTAATAAAATACAAGAGGCTTATAATGTATTTATGTATATAAATTATAAAATATAAAGATTGATAACATTATATTGTTTTAAATACTTCACGCAAAACCTAAGGTGGTACCCGGCTTATAGTATACCTATGCAAAAAGGCACTTATTAAACTTGGAGTAGTGAAACGAAGACAGACTTTGGATTGTTCGGTCTCACGTATTTTATACATGGCGCTTTTAGGATTAAACTTATAAATGCTTCTACGTCACCCAGTTAACAGATTGTCCGGGCAATAAATATTTAATTTAAGTCTTAAAGTAAAGGTAAAATACTAAAATAGCAATAATATGAAAACAAACTTACGCGTAAACATCGACTCTTCCGGTGAAATCTAGCTAGAGTGCCGCCGTCGCCGAAAAAACGGCTATCTTCATCTATCATCATCTTGTTGCTCAGAACTGAAACTTGAAAGTATCGAACTATTTAATGAAAATAATCTGACCATAACGAAATGTGTGAATTTGTGCTAACAAACTGTCCGTATATATTGATCGCTTATTATTTTTTTTTCACTGAAATTATTAGAATTGTTAATCGTCGCCGACGAATGTCGACAATAATTGACGATAGCCATAGATAAAATATATTATTTACTATGATAAATCCATAGAACTTATATGCTATACTCAGACACTCAGTACCTAAACGGTCTTTGGTAAATCGTACGTACTTTTACAGAAATTTTTGTGATCAGCAATGTACTTATTCTGGTTTTCTATTTTATTCATAGTTCGCATGCCAAATTTAACTATACGAAACTGGTCCGCAAATGTATAGACATTCTATTAAATTACAATGTGAATTATTATAAGTCTCCTTTTTGGTACTTTCCAAAAACTCGACTACCGGGATTTAAATTTAAAAAAAATGTGATTTAGGTAATCTATTGGCTATTGATCTATTATAAAATAGAAACTGAACCAACCAATAATATCACTTTATAAAATAATTAAATGTGATAATTTGAAGACAATTTCTTAAAACCTCTAAAATATTTTTTTAATTTAGTGTTATAAATTTATAATCTAGTTAAGCGCTCAAGCAAATTTTTCAATTTTTTTTTCTGGTAACCTATGTGTTGCGACCAGTTAAGATGTATATCTATTATGCAAAAATTAACTGCCGGAAATTATTAGTTTTTATGGTAAAGTTTTACGAAGTTCACGATTTTCGGTGTTTTAAGTGCTTGTAAAAATTTTGTTTTTTTAAAAAGAAAATCATCATCATTATTTATTTTTGTATAGGTACCTAAAATATAAAAAATATTATATTATACATAGACTTCAGGGCCCCGCATACATTGAATGTGTCCGGGGTCCCAAGAATCCTAATTTCGGCACTGGTAGGTACCATATATTAACTGTTAAGTAGATATTACATGTATTTTTACTGTTATTAATTATTATTATATTTTGTATTATTCGAAAGTAGAAAGTTATTAGTTATGAAAAATCGATTTTCTTTTATAAATAGTATGTTTATTATTATTTATATTTGTTTCTTAATAATTATTAAAAGAACTCTTTTATAGTGAAAATTGATCATCATATTACTTGAGCAAGGAGAAACAAAGTACATTTATAAGTATCTATTTAATAATTATATAGTATATATATAATCGCACTCTATTGCTTGTTTAAATGTCACGTTTCTTATATAATATAATAGGTACTGTTTCATCTGGTATCCACTGTATGTACCTATCTTGTTTGATCGACGTGTGATATGTGTCGCCGGTGTAACGACCCAAGCAATAATAATAGTAATTATTATTTTTACTATGTACAATCTTCTAAAACCTAACCTCGTTTGGAACTGTCAAACACTCAAACCGACGACGACGTTTGTGTGTCCACAACTCCGCCGCTACAAAATAAAACACAAAGTAATATAATATCAGTATTTAATAGTTTAGGTACCTAAGTACCTATATATTTATTCGACCAGTGCGCCTAACCAACAAAACATTCGGGACCCGGTTTATTAAAAAATTCATCGTAACTTTGTCAAAAGCTGAAAATGTATTTTTTTATTCTGTAAAATCAAACACGGTGGTATCTTGTATAAAGTATAGTTAAGTACCTACCTATTATTTTATATCGTTCAAATTTCCTTATGCTTATGGTCGTATATTTATCAGTGTTTAACCAAAGCGTACATCAATAATATTCACATACCTAAATTATAAACGTCCGAGATGATTATTATTTCAATAGATCAATATATTATATAATTTAGTACGGACCTATTGACTATTACCTATCTAGTACATAGTAACTACATACCAACGTAAGGACTTGTTGCTTGATGGTGTTAAATATTTTCGGAAGTGGCCCGCCTTAAATTTGTCACACTTAAAATAAATTGAAATGGTGTCCGTTAGTAAATAACATAATATAAGATTATCTTTGGACGAATAATTTATAAATATCATCCATAATATAATTAGGTATACAAATATATAGTACCATTAGTACCTGTTATATACAGATGTACTATATAGGTACCTACATATTCTATTAATTACTAATTATTACTATACAGACATATACCTGAATATTACTTTTAGTCATTACTAATTCATATTCTAATACCATGGATGATTGTGCACTGTGCAGGAGGCAACAAGATTTTTTTCCTACTAAGTTTAGTATATGATTTTGTTATGCTATTGATAACTCATTATTAAACTATTCGATGTTCATTACTATACGACTTGTTCGATATTAATATATTATAATTTATAATGACGGCTTTTATTCTTAGTTATTTATTGCTCACTTCAAGTACCTATACAATATTCACAAATATTTGGCATCATCAACGTTATAGCATCGTATATAAATAAACGGACGACAGATTCACGATACCAGAAGAAACAAGCATTCAAGCCAGAGACACCCAAATTCAAATACATGCTCCAGTCATAACAACCCATTTTTATTTTAATAAAACTACAATTTAAAATTACCACAACCGAAACACATCGTAACATTCAAATAAATCAGACACCTGAGTTAATTGTTTTGGTCAGCCCAGGTAACACCCCTAAAAAATTGTGATCTTTTTTCTTATTCACAAATAGCAATTGTTAAAAAATAACTCTTATCGGGTGAAAAAGTGCAGAAGGAGTATTTATCTACGAGTGTGTCTAATGTTTTTAATTATAATATCAAAATATTTTCGAAATCGTATGATGTATAGGAAATGCTAATATAAACATTCAGTGAAATTTTCATGTATCTACAGTAATTCGTTTTTGAATTACAACAAAATAAGGAAATCACTACATGAGAAATCGATTGAACATCCAATGTTGTAGAAATTTGAATTTCAAACGCTCATAAAAATTTAATTTGACTGTCCGGTAAGGATTTTTTTATTGATAAAGGTAGACAAACTTATGAGTAATCTTGTATTACATTTTCAAATCTTAGATTTAAAAAGAAAATTTTTACGAATTCTTAACTCAAAATAATTTGCTAATTTTCGTGATTTTTCCATATTTTGTCAATTTTTGAACTTTAAATGCTTATAAAAAAAAACTGTGACTAACGATTTTTAATATTTTTCATCTGCCTTTTAAACAATATATTAGGAGCCTTCTTTTAAATTTTCAAGTTTTTTTACCCAACAAATAAAATTTTATTGATATTTTTAGAAAAAAAACTAAAAAAAAATGAAAAATGAAAATGTCCCTAAACAGTTCAAAATAAATCAAAATATTTTGAAAATGTTATCGTGAATAGAAAATGCAAATATAAACAACCAGTGAAAATTTCATGTATCTACGGTCATTTGTTTTAAAGTTACACCAAAAACCAAATTCAATTTTCTGAAAAATCGATTTTGCGTAAAAATTCCCGTTTTTCCTCAATTTTTCTTTTGTTTTTCTTGGCGCTTTTGAAAAGTACTGGCTATTTTAAATTTTGACCTCCCCAATGCACCAACGATATTCACTTTCCAATCGAACAAGATACTGAAGTTGAAAATCGAAGAATTATTTCGACTACTTATCGTGTACACAGACACAAAAAAAATAAAAAAACACACATCATTGTAAAATCAATACATTCATCGTTTCACTCAGAATCTAAAATAAGCTTATAGGGAAAAACTAATTCCTATATTAATATTAATAATATTATTCAATACATTTTCTAGAGAAAGACTAGATATTTTTGTTTGGCATTTTAACTCTAATAGTAATATAGTCACAGTAATACGAATATTGTAATAAATACTCAACTAAAAACCCTTGTGCCTATAAGTCATATTTTAGGAATTTTAAATAAAATCAGTTCACCCATATATCGCTCTTGCCGTTGCAGATAAGGGTAAGGTGTACAGTGCGCTGACGTGCGGTAACGACCATCTGGTGAAAATCTGGCAACTGACTCTGTGGAAGAAAAACGCAGGTTCTCATCAGTGTGCTGTCGAAATGGTTCAGTCACTGAAAGGTCACTCCTCAACGGTGACCAGCGTGTGTTTTAGCGGAGCTGATGGTAAGGTGTTTGCGTCCACGTCAATGGACAAGACCACGAGGATTTGGCAGGTAACGATCATAAGTCATAACATTGTATTAGATGCTGAGTGGTGTACCTTGGAGATTTTTTTTTTTGGGGGGGAATAAAAAAAATATTTTTTTAACGTATTGCGTTTTGAAATATAGTGGAGGGAGGAAGTTGCACCCCTTCTACTCCTTAATTAATTTACGGTAAATTATCCATAGGAAATAATAAATCGGTATAACTACATATAAATTATAATATTATGTATATTATGCATCCTTCTAAATTTTGTAAAAAATTATAAAATAAGTAAAAATAAATCAAGTTAGTTGTTAATACTATCCAGTGGTATCCAGTAATAGTGAGTACAACTTGTAGTATTTCTTTTAGTAGTACAATTTAAATATTTTAATGACAAATTAGTAATTATACAAAACACACACAAACAAATAATACTCAATCTCAGGAAATACGGCTGCAGCTTAAAAAAAAGTATTGTAAATTAATGAATTAGAAATTAAAATAATATCTTTGCTCCCCCTAAAATTGTGACTATGATTAGATGATGCTGGCAAATAGAAGGCCTTTAGTATTATTATTATACCACAATGATCTTTACGACCAGTGGTGACAAAACAATTGTATTTATTCCCATCTGGTAATTATCTTAAAATTATCGTTATGAATCTTTGCGTTGTGGTTTGATTCAAAATTAAATCCGGATATGAGAGCCTAGATGAGTGTTTTTGAAATAACCCATTAATATTATTGTTAAACAGTATAAATTAGCCGATTTTGGCTTATGATAACTAAACCAGTCGATGTAAGTACAATGAAAACATAAAAAAATACTTTTTAATGTTATTTTTGATCGCGTTGAGGACGCTAAACCCGCATGTTCTCTTTCTGTCATGTAATCGTACACAACAGAGAAAATGTACGTTCAACAGAATCAACTTTGTGTTACAGCGAATATTGACCTTTTATCAAACTTCAAGGTAAAAACATTTTCTGTTTTTTTAACAACATTTTAATTTTTTGTTGGGAAACATCAAAGTATAAAATATGCTCACGACCAACAAAAAAATAGGTATTGGTTTGTTATATACAGGGCCAGACATCTGAAAACTTTATAGATTTATTATACCTACCAATATCCATAATAATAAATAAAATAAATAATAATTTATAATACGATTGTTCTCCAAAAAAAATGTACCATTACTATAGGTACCTACCAATTACCATACCTATTTATCACATAATGTGGCATGTGGGTACTGGGTTGTTTACCTACAACCAATAATCAAACCAGTAAAACATCAAATGGTTTAATAATAACCACTGTGGGACTTGACTCTTAGTACGGTTTTGTTCATCGTTATTTGATTTACAGATTTATAAGTCATATAATTTATACTTATTAGGTATTTAATTATATAATTATATTAAAATGAATATAAAAGATTTATGAAAACTTGCCAATTTGCTCTTAGTTCTTACCTTTAGGCTTTAAGTCTTATAATAGGTACATTCGCTCTAATATTTATAACAATAAAACAAAATTGGTTCTGTGGATTCAACATATTATTTTGCTATTTTGCTACGTTTACGACTATTGTAACACGGAGCAAAGCTCTGGTCATCACACCCAAGTGGCAAACAGTGTCTCCCAGAACGAATCTGATTATTTCATGCACGAAAATTGAATCATACAATACCTACTTATTATATTAATAACGTTGGACGTGTTATTATTGTTTTAAGATGGTCGAGTCAAACAATGCGGTTTGCTTACAAGTGTTGGAAGGACACACCCGTTACGTTAACACTTGTGGATTCTCTCAAGACGGTTTACTGTTTGTGACTGGTAAATTGCCAACGGTTTTATGACTCGTTGTATAACGTCCACGCTACACGGGCGCACATAATTTGAGCGATTTTTCGTGTCCACACATGCTCAGCATAATATTGTAATTTGTGCTCGTATTGTATGTACAATATATGTATTATATATTTATACCAAAATAACGTTATGTACATATTATAGCGATAAATAAAATAGTAATGCGTATGTAATATTTCATTTTATTTTTTCACGTATTTGTACTTCATGTGTTTTTTAGGGTCCAACGACAAGTCTGTCATTGTCTGGGATGTGAAAGGCGATTTAGATTTAAATGCCAAATTACACGACTCGTCGGAAGTGAGTACTGTTATGACAGCATGCCTACCTGTTGTGTTGTATGCGTAGAATTCATAACGATATAATATTATTAATTATACAATAATAATATGTAATATCTTTTTCAGGACTTAAAGTCCGCAGTAAACATAGTCAAGGGTGAAAATATTCAGGTAGAAGTGTCCCTGAGGGAAAAATTAAACATGTTTACGAATGCGGTGAATTCGTGTGACTTCAGCAGCGAATGCAAATACCTAGTGGCGGCCGGCGGGTAATATTATATATGCGATATGCCTGCGATTATTATTACCATAGGTGTGCGTAAACGTATGTATCAGGTGTGGGCGTGTGGCTATACTATTTTTTTTTACCACACAACCCTTCAAACTGCCTCCATTCAACAACATAAAAAGCAAACATGCTAAGAATTTTATAAAAAAAACATACTCAAACAGAAAATTTAAATGTATTTTCAATAATACTTCCAAATTCTAGTAGTTAGCCGGAAATAATGTTAAGGGATAGTCTTTTTTGGATCTTTTTTTGGTGCGTACTTAATGAAAAAAACTTCGGGTATGTGGCTTGTAGGACTTGTAGCCATCGTCAGTGGCGTATTTAGGAATTTCTAATGGAGGGGATCCATTTAATTTTACAAACATACGAAAGTGAGGGTACAATTAAAGACTATATTAGATGGTTAGATAGGCACTTATGGGGGCAATGGGGGTTCCGGACCTCATGGACCCCCCGGTAAATACGCCACTGGCCAACGTGCACACGCCTATGATTCTTACTGCCTCGCCTATGTCAATTTTTTCGTCAAACGGCAATAATTATTATATTTATAATAAGTTTTAAATATATTAACCCATCTTATATTGATTTATTTAAACTTTGTTTAGCGACAAAACCGTCAGGATTTGGCATTTCAGCGAAAGCGGACGTACTGAAGAGTGCAAAGGCTCACCGTTTCGCGCTCACCATTACTCGGTACAACAGATGGTCATTTCTCCGTGCTCGTCGTATATGGCCACCTGTTCGTTGGACGGAATGACCGTTATTTGGGAACTAAATGTAACGATTTACAATAGTACCTATATAAGCAGTGATTCACCAACCACGCTCGACCCCCTTTTTTCTTTAATAATTTGCAATTATTCGACATTTTTGAATTATATATATTTAATGTCGATATTATTTTCAAATTATTGATATTTTTTGTACTAATTAAAGAAATGTCCAGTGAAGATGGGATACAAACTTTTGTTTTTCAAATGAAATTCCCTCTTCATTTTCTACTGTAATTTATTTGATAGATAATTTTTCTGAAAATGTTGTCACATCAATATCAAAATTCTAACTAGTAGTTGTTTAGTTATTTATTTAATTTTTACTAAAATAAGGATAATATAGCCTATAGGTCCATGCTGGTGGGTTTAGAAAATTATGTGGGAGAATATGGTGATTTGGAAATGTAGTACCTACCTAGTTAATATTAATCTATGAAGATTTATATAATTTGTAAGAATAGTCCAAATAGATTACATCTATTTTATATTTTTATTATCTTATTAAACTATTTTTAAGGACTATTACTCTTAGTATAAACGTTTTAATATAGCTGATAAATTATTCGTTAGAATTTCGAGTTAGGTACTTAGGTACATCAAAGTTTTCAAAAAATGATCCAATAAATAATTTACATAGTAAAAATGTTAGTTCTCATTTGAAAAAAATAGAAGGTTATTGTATCACCACAGGACACTTGTAGGTAGCACGAAAAATCTCAAGAATTTGAAAACATGGTCTTCAAGTAAGTATATTTAAAAGTTCAAAAAAATCGGAATTGTAATAAATTAAATATCAAAGGTGATAGTATAGGGGGGGGAAATGCTTGGTGAATCACCCCTCAGTATATATAGCTGCCGACGTTATCGCAGTGGAAAATGCTCAAATAAGATTTATTGGACATTTTATTGCATATCGATTTACAGACTCTAGAACCGAGAGGTTCGTTACACACTGAGTACGGCGGGGCTCGATCCTGTTCGTTTTCTGGAAATTCCGAATTGATTGCGGTCGCTTGCAACAACGAAATCGTATTCGTGTGGAAAGTGGAAACATTACAGCTAGTCGCGTACGTACGATCATGCGATGGGTTTCTAATCACTGACAGGGTGATCAACCATCAGTACTAGCCCCTGGCCCCCTGAACTAATATGATATTATATAGAATATAAAATATTGGTCGTCTTGTTTTCCAAGTTTTCCGTGTTAGTTTTATTCTAATGTATATTATATTGAGTTAGAATCTACCTAACCTATATGTATAATATCTTTCTCAACCAGTAATTATATAGTTTTAAGAAATTTGATTTTTATACATAAAAATCTGAAAATATTCCGTTTCGGAGTATATTATGAAAATTAAAATATGGGCATGTTATCATGTAGGTAATTAAAAACCAATAAACTTAAATAATTATATTGACACAAAACATTTTTCAATTACAGTTTTATTGTATAGGTATTAAGTTCAAATGATGTAACATAATATGTAATGACATATTTTAGATGTATACCTACATGGCTACTCTTGGCTACTCATGGCTGTTTAGTGATAAAAGTATCACCCTGTAGTACAATTGTTTTAAGTTTTAACATAATATTATTTCAAACACTATAGTATGCTATTATTATAATACCTATTGAATTGATTTTAGGAAGCTATGCGGTAATGACGAAGACGTCACTTGTGTTTCGTTCAGTCCGGATTCTCGGTATTTAATGTCCGGTTGTGTGGAAGGGCACTTCCGAATTTGGTCGGTGCACCCGAAAAAGCACATTATATCCGAGACGAGTACAATCGTCCAAGACAAAGCGCACGAAATTGGAATAACAAGCGCCCATTTTGCGTTCAAGAGTAAGTTCTTGTATTAGCGTAAATAAATAATAATAATGCTGCATTGTTGCAGTACCTATCTATATGTATAATGCATATGTCATAGGCGCAACTAGTTACTAGGTTTAATATTCTGGGGGTCAGCTGCCTACTTAACAAAACTATTAATTTAAAATACCTAGTTAACCCAATAGTGGCTTATATCTAAATGAACATTATTTTGGGGGGGCTAAATCTTAGTCGGGGGGGGGGGGGGTTATCATTATATTTTTTGATTACAAGTTTAAATTTATTAAAAAGTGTCTTATTAAAACCATAGCATGCTTACTTGATATTTTTCTTATACAAGGAAAATCTATGAATCATAAATATGTTTTTGTTAATAAGTAACCATGACAACGAAAACCTTACGAAAAATTGGTCAGAAACAAAAAACGTGTATCCAGCCTAAAAACATATATATATTAAAAAGAAAAATGTGGCCAAATAATATAATTTTGTTTAAATGCAATTTAATTATTTTACAGCATTTTTGTTTCAATTTGTATTTTTCACAGATAATTTTGCGAATTATCCGCTGAATTCCGAATCCTTGAGAGTTTAGTGTTTACTGTATAATGTGTATATGGTTATAATACCTATAAATATTTTTTATGTTACATTTTTAACAATACTAGGTATATGAAATTGTCCGTATATAAGTCAACGGTATGTCGGTATAGCGGTATATGTACATATTTACACACATTTGTGGTTGAATTGTTTTTGAATTTTGATACAAGCTAAATTGTAATGTCATTTATTCATTAATTATTAAAATATTAACAATTGTTTTTTACTTCATCCGTTCAATTACCTACTTATTTAATGCATCTTTTAAAATACATAACGGATATAATATTTTAGTCTTGGAAATTGAAATCGTCACGGATTCAATGTGTTCATAATCCTCTACGTAATTTATATACCTTCTATACAATATTATAATATAATTTGTATTATTATTATTAATCGGCCAATGTCGCAGACCCATCTAGAAAACCGCAATCGATGTTGATGTTAACGGGTGGCAGTGATGCCGTGGTAAAAGCCTGGAGGCTACTGGACGACCGAATCGACTTCAAAATGAAGTTTGTCGGCCACGGTAGTGACATCACGTGCGTCAAGTTCCCACGGCACATTACTACGTTCTTGGCGTCTACTTCGCTGGACAAGACAGCTCGGATATGGCAAACGGTAAACGATAAATCATAATGATAGAATGATTAAAATATTACAATAATATACCTACCTATTGCGAAACATACAAATCTTCCATCTCCGGCACATTTTGATTTTAAATTAACTTGAAAACCGTATAATATATTATATATTATTATGTAGGTAATAGGTATAAGGTTATAATAGGCAATGTAGGTATGTGGAGAGTTGGTTCCGTATTTAGGTAAATTTTTTTAGACGAATTTATGACCAGTTCGGTTTAATAAATAACATTTATTTAATTAAAAATTGTTTTATCCATTATTGGATCGAGAACTATTGGTCACGTAGTTCTTATTAATAATTGGCAATCATGAATTCTAAAGCGAAGACAAATTAATTTCGGGGGACGGAATGGAACTAAGGACTGGTTCGATACCTCGGCCGCAGGTGGCATTTTTCTTCGGGAAAGTCACAGTGTCCGGAGAATAAGTTCCGCCATCCCCCACACAGGTATGGCAGATATACCTAATCAAAAATCAAAAATCCTGCCAAAACAAACACACAAGTGTTCCTCCCCCTACCAACAAAACAAAAATAGCTAATGGCCTTAGTTGCTGGGCTCAAGTTCAATTTAAAAAAAAAAAATAATTTCTTGACAATAATATTGTAAGCTATGAAGACACATTCACATTCTACCTATATATAATATTATGTAGATTTTCACTATTCAGTGATGCAAATTTGGGGCTAGGACCCCAAAAATCTATCTTTAAAGAATATTATTGAATCCAAGGTGCCGCTAATGGGCGTCTTCCCCTCTCCTGTCCTTTTATTTGTTTTTTGTTTTCGTTTTATCTAATTTGCTTATTATATTACTTTAAATACAGATCGTAATAAACCTTCTTTTGTAATAATAATAAAAAAAATAGTATTACATAATTGAAAAATACTCTGGAGGCTTAAGTCCCTCCTGAAATGTATTCCAATCTGTGCTGCTATTACATATTATTATAGCTTACTTTTTAACATGTTTTGTTTTAAATGTTTTTTTTTATTTTATAGAAAACTGGAGATTGTCTGCATGTCATCGATCCCAAAGGTGCCATCCTCACTTGTTGCTCATTTTCTTCAAATAATAAAATACTAGCTACAGGTTATTATAACAATTTCTACCTAATTACCATTTATTATATACCGTCTACTATTGTCGAGTCTGTACTTCTGTAGATAATAGTATAATATACTGTTTTTGTTTTTTAAGTATAGTTTGGTTTTTAAAACGAGTTTAAAATTTGAACTATAATAATTAAATATAATATAGGTCGTTTTTGAAAGAAAATTACAATAGAATGATAGAGTGTACAATGCATATTTATCGTTATAAATTATTGTGTACCTACACGACGATACGGTCAATATCATTATTATAATATCAAGATATTAATGGACACAGCTAGCCCAAGGCTTATATATTCTAATCTATAAACCTTGACAGCTAGCAAGCAGTGGCGTATTTACGGCCTTACGGGGGTCCATGGGGTCCGGATCCCCCCCCCCCCCCATTGGCTCGTGTCTCGTTCATGTTAAATGTTGTGTTTTTACGTAATTAAAAAAAAAAACAAATTTTATTATACGATACGAAGGATTTTATCATTTTTTAAAAAATTTCGAAGCTTCAGCTATCAAAATTTTCAATTAATATCGGGATTTTTTTTGTTACCAGTTTGGTACCGAAATTGGTTGAAAAAGTTTTGTACATTGCCAGTATCTACAGCCTGTAACTTACTTATCTCCAGAGAGACATTTTTCAAGTTATCTAAGATCAACAATGAATGAAGTAATGTATTTTTATAAAAGTTATAACTATATAAGTGAAGGCTGGGCAAGTTAATGTTTTTTTTTAACTCGTTAAGTTAAATTATTTTAAAATAATTAAGTTAAGTTAAGTTAAAAGTTACTCGTATTTTTATCGTTAACTCGTTAAGTTAAAAGTTAACTTTGAAAAAAAAGTAACTTAACTTAGTGTAAAGTTAAAATTTGCTAATTTGCAAAAATAGAAAATACCAGACACATAATGTGGTTTATTAGATAGTTTTTCTTTACGTCTAAGAAAATTACTGTAAAAAAATTTACATTATTCTTCAGAAGAAAATTAACTTAATTTGGATATTTTTGAAATAAAATTAACTTGAAGCTAACACGTTAATCTTGAAAAAAGTAACTTATTAAGTTAAAAGTTAATTTGAAAAAAAATGTAACGAGTTAATTAACTTAATTAAAATTAACTTAACGTTTTAACTTAATTTTAATTTTTAACTCGTTAATGCCCAGCCTTAATTATAAGTTATAACTACATTAGATTCTGAGCGGAGCTACGAAGCTAGTGGTTTTACAATGGAGTTTATTATTTTTATTTTTATTTTTTTTTATCCTGTATACCATTAGAAGTGCTTCAATTTTAATATGTAGTATCTTATCTTTTAGTAAATTGGATAAAATGGTACTTTAAGGAGGTAATTTTTTGATTTTCTCAATAATTATTTAATGCCACGGGAAAAACCACTGACAAATTACAAAAAACCGTTAAAAATGGAATTTTAATTTCTAACGCTTTGTTTATCACCATAGAAACAAATAAAAAATAAATATATTATAATATTAATTCAACTTACAGGCTATAATAAATAATAACAATATTCAGACTGACAAACCGTCTCCGCTCAGAATCGTTTTTCTTATACAGTGATATTATTATATCGTTGAACTCAAATTTAATACAATTCATTATACAGTGACCAACTTGTAACCTACTGTGCAGCAGAGCGACATCCACTTACCCACTTTTTTTAATTTGTTTTATAAATATTATTATTTAATCATTAAAAACTCAAAAATCGATTTTAAACAGTCTTATAAATATGGTATATTTATTTAATAAAGAGTAGGTAATTAGGTGGTTTCTGAAAATTATCTAGACCCTCACCATAACAAATTCCTAAATACGCCACTGCTAGCAAGCAATACCTACTTGGATACATACAGTATTTAAAAAAAATTTTATATTCGTGACGTGTGACTGTATTCTTATTCGAAAGTTAAGGAAATTCCTGTACCTACTAATGCGAAGTTAACATTTTATTACATTTTTCTGTGATTTTAGGGTCGCTGGACAAGGCGCTGTATCTGTGGAATTTACCGTTGGACGACGACGATGCCACGACAATTAGGAAATCGGTAGGTATAATCACAGCGCATAATAATTTGCAAAATATTAGGTAGGTACCTAATATATATATGTTAATATTATAATATTTAAATGTATTGACGTATTGTACATTTGTACCCGATGATAAATTATAATATTATATGTTATCCTTACCATTTACGAATATAGTAGTCCACTTTAGTTTGACCACCATGGCATGAATGACCATATGGTACCTAGTTGTAAGACGATATTATATCTTGTAGTTTTTGTTTTTGATTGATAGACGTCATTTGAAAAACACGGAGCGCGATTGAACGGCATGTCCGGTAAGTGTATTATAATGTAATAGCTGATCCCTTGCACTTTTTTTGCCAGTAAAAAATGGCAACTCTTAAACAAATGATGATTGTTCAACTCCTTTTGGGTGTAACTAGCCGCAGTAAGTGCAACTTAGCCACTCACTCCGGTAGGCAATCCAACTACGTATTGGATCTCTTACAAAGTGCGACTCATCCATCTTGGTTGGCTATGTTCGAAAATTAAATTTGAGGCAAGCTTGTACCTGATCTGCCCGATGGCAACCGATAATAAATTTCTACTGATTTCTACTAATTATTTCTCCTGTAACCAATAGCAACCATTACGTAGGTATATAGGTTTACAATTTACACGTAAGATTTTGTTTTTTGCCGATTTTACCCCCTCCAAATCAAAATTTTCCAAAATCCTTTCTTAGTGCGCACGGTGAAATTATAATATTAATCTAGGACACTCGTATATATATATTATACAGTCATATAATTATCGTACCCGTACCTACGGTTCATTGCCCGGTCCTCCACTCAGCTGTGTGATTGATTTTTTTAAAACGAAAGCATACAGGTGCCCGCAGAATATTTTTTTATCAGTTAGGGGAGGGGGGGCAAGTTTGTTAATAACTACATAAAGTATAATATTATTTGTTGACCATTGGATTGACAGGATTTTTCGTAACATGTTTCATATTTTCATATAAAACCGTAGGTAGTTCTTTTTTTGTATATGTACCTACATATTTTTTCATATACATAAACGCTTATAACACAATAATAAATTACGCCACTGATAAACACGAATTATACAACTACGTATTTTCCAAACTGCACACGTAGGTACTGCGGGGGGCAGATAATTAATGGCTATTTGTTTCGTTGGCAGATGACGACAGACGAGACTTGGAAGTAGCACTGTCGAAGCTGTCGTCGTCGACTGACACACCCGACGAGTTCATCTGTCCGATAACGCAGCAGATTTTCAGAGATCCCGTGATATGTTCAGGTATACAATCCAAGGTTAAATCACAGAAAAAGTATAATTTATTTCAATGAATGGGATGGGTCACGGGCCCCTTGTGCCCCCCTTAAATATCTGGGTATGTAGGGTGTGTGAAGATATTTGAAGAACGACCAACCCCACTTGGGGCACGGCAAGCGAAATAACGGATAAAAAAAAAAAATTCTTTCTAAAGTGGTTTATAACGTCTATAATAATGGGTGGAGCGCAAAAACAAAAAAAAATTTTGAAATTTTTTCTTCGATAGACGGACATACTTACGATAGATCGGCCATGGTGTCATGGTTCCGCCGAGGCAAATTCAGCAGCCCATTGACAAATGAACCGCTACTGTCCAAGTCCATGACGACAAACACCACCATAAAGGAAGCAATCTCAGTGTTTGTCCAACAAAATCAATGAACGTGATGGACCACAGTACAAATAGTTTTTAAATTCATCAATACCAACTTTGTGTGTTTGAATAATGTCATCATCGTTCATCAGCTATTAAACATGCACATTTTTGAAATATAATATTTGCCTGATATGAAAATGTTTTTGTAGTAATTTGTAATACCAATTATTATTACAATGGTTATTTTATGCACTTTTCCTTTTTTTTTTTTTTTTTAACATTTATTAAAATAAAAATATTTGTCATTGCGTTAAAGATAATATTTATAATATGTTATAAATAAACTTGTCAGTTGCGGTGTCAAAGAATGCTAAACAATACCTTTATATTATAGATTTTTAATGCAGTATGTATACATCATGAATAAATAGATATAAAATACCTTTTAGTCAATCATACAAATAAATTATTGGGAATAATATAGTTTTTATTCTATACTATTTGTCATTGGTAGTTTCAATTTTTAAGTTTCACATTTGCATGATAACAATATAATATTGCTTATTATAAAATCAATACTAAAGACTAATGATAAATAGATATCATGTCTTAATTGACAAAAACAAAATAGCAAACAATGTTTTGTTGATTATATTATTCAATATATTTAGACAAAATTATTTTAACAGTTCAAGTGCAGGTTTTATTGAATCAAATAAATGACATATTATTCATCAGAAAAAATGGTTCAAAAACAGGTACAGGATTACTTATTATTAAGTTGGAAACAAATAATGTCAGAATCGAAACACTGTCTAACAAACGTAGTGTAAAGGTCTAAAATGTTTTACACACAAACTTCTATTATACTATATAGATTTTATGACAATATTAAAGGCTTCTAAATTATTTAGTTTATACAAATTTTATTATGACACATATTTTCAAATTACTTAATAGTAATTCTACATACATGTTAGTTTAAATTTAAAACGTAAAACATATGCTGTCAATCAATCGTTAAATATATCATGCATACATAATAATAAGTATATAATTATACACAGCATAATGTTACTTAAGTTGTTTCGGCTGAAATTTAGTTTATCCCTAGTCCAGATAAACTTTCGGCTACATGTGAACTGTCTATAGATGTCTGTAAGGCTCCATTGTTACTGGCCTCTCTGTTACACTCTTTTTTGTGAACAAACCAATGGATGCGTTGACATTCACGGTCGCAATATTGCACAGCTTTGCATTTGGCACATTTTTTGGTAGCATTATTTTCAGCGCATGTACCACATATGCGTTCATCACCAAACGAATCTACGCCCATACCACGTCGATTTCCAATCATTACCAGTATAACATTGAGGGCTGTCATGCTATCTTTACCTCGTGTCAGACTAGCAACCATCTAAAAATAAATGGTAATATTTTTATTACATACATTATTTTGTAACTATACGTTGAATTATTATATAAATAAAAATATTAGTTACTAATTCAAGATCCATACTGTGGTATTTACAAATTATAAAAAAAATTAATATACTTATCAAATAATAACATTTATTTTGATTATAAAAATAATTAAATTTTTTTTAGTTGAATCTTATGTGATTTATTTTTAAATATAAATAATTTTTGATCCAGGAAGTAATTACGTAGTAAACTATTTGCAGAAAATAGGTCATATAGTAAAATAATGTGTTCAAGCACAGTTAGACTATAAAAATGTATACTTAAAATAAATAATTAATTATTAAATGGTTTAAAATAGTTTGTTAATGAGATAAATTAATTTCAAGACATAAGTTCAAAACTCAATAGATTTATAAGAATTTTGTTGAGTAAGCTCACCTTTATAAAATAAATCACTTAAGATTATACTCTTGATTATACTATTTTTATCATGATGTATATTTTGTAATGTTTAATATATTTTAAGTACCTAGGAAGAGGCAATATCATTAGTAGAACATCTACCTATGATGTGCTCAATTCAAAATAAATATAAAATACTACAAAGGAGAATAATTTTACCTGTCTGAAAATTGTACAATCTCTAAATGAAAACATTCTAATGCAATCTTTAAGAAACTGTTCTGAATAAATTTCACTTTTCAATATTTTCTTAATAAATAATTCCTTTGGATCTGACTGTTTTTCACTTTTCATATCACTGCAAATAGAAAATGAAAAATATTTTAAAATTTATATTATATTGCTAACTATTTCAAAAAGAAATTACTTGTATTTGGCGACTTCAATCAGAATGCTAGCTAAGTAATGAAACTTAAAAGCCATTACTTCATTAGTCTCTAGTTTTTTGTTAAATTCACGCTCGCACATCAAATTCAACACTTTGTAAATTTTTGAAGAATTATCATCGATCAGGAAAACTGGAGGTATTTCTAGAGCCACTTTCACTGGATGGATGTTGGTCTATAAGATATTACGGTACAGTGGTAATTATTAGTTATCACACTCTATTAAATCTGGTTGTATGATGTTGCCAATATTAATAATAATAATACCATCATAATAAATTTGTGAACAGATTGGGCTAACTCTGCAGGTAACTTTGGTTCGTTGTCATTCGAGTCAGGTAACGTGTAACAAGTAACTTCTTCTTCTGGTACATAATTGCTGATTACCGCCACACAGTTGTGATTTCCTGTGTGTAAATAATAAATGTGACATGAATACCCGGCAAATAGAGTTGGTGAGTGTACTAACCTACGAAAGCGCCCATTTGTGAAGCAGTACGTCCAACAGTATTGGTCAGTTCGCTTTTGGCACCGGCAGCCAACAGCAGGCTGCACACCACGGGGTTGCCGCTGAGGGCAGCAAAATGCAGAGCAGTGTACAGGTACTTATGTTTACCTGAATTAACGTCAGCGCCCTGCCATAGACAAAGCAATTAATAATGAAAAAAACAAAAAATCTGACAGGCACTTACTCTGTTCAACAGCCAACGGACGATTTGCTCGTTGCCCTTGTATGCAGCGTGTTGGAGCGGCGTCATGCCATGTTCATCCAGTATATCCGTGCTCAGGTCGTGTTTAGCGTAGATCTTCTGGAGGCCATCGAAGTCGTTGACAAATATCGCTTTGAAAACGTCTTGCGTCACCCCGTCGCCGTCCTCAGAGTAAATCATTGTCAGAAACAGTACCGTGTGACAAACAGCTCACCTCGTCCACTAGCAAAATCTCCAGGTGACGACTTCGGACTTGTGATTTATGTAATGGACGGCAAATGCAGATTACACCCAAGACGTAAAATTAATACATCGACGAGATATTGCTCGAGGAGTGTCTAGCAGTGCTTTGAGCTTTGTGCGAACGCTGTGCTGAAATGCTGAATGCAGAGCAGTACTGCAGTTGTAGCATCTACGATCAAATATCGAAAATTATGTAAACAAATCATGTACCGCCGTTTGCTATGATAAGCGCGCGGTTATCACTTCTAGTTAAACAAGACCATGGTAATATCAAAGACTTGGTGGTAATATCACGAATTACTACTGCTACCTATTGTTCTATGCTGCTACTACTGCTACTACCACGATTTAAGATATACTTAAATATATATCTTAAATATATATCTCTATAGTATATCTTAAATCGTGGCTACTACCATCGAGATAGATCTAGACACGCGGTAGCGTGTCAAGCCAAGTTCTAGCTAACAGAACTGGGGAGCAGCACCGTGTGTAATATTACACGAACCATTTGGAGCCACTTTTGACCCCCTCATAACTCAAAAACTTTTCCACATAAACATGTCAAATTTGGCTCATATATTGAGACTAACGAGATACATATGTGCTCTAAATTTCATAAACACACTTCAAACCGTTATTTAGATATTAACGTCCGAAAATCGTCATTTTTATCACTGACTTACCTATAGATCAAAATTCTAACCCAGTTCCAGATGACCTATAAAGTTCAAATTTGGCATACAGATAGGTAGTTAGGTAAATACAAAGAAAAAAATCAGAAACTTGAAAATTTTTAATTTAAAATTTTTTTAATCAATTGATTTTATTATAATTTTGCAATTATTTTATCTATTACGTATGTTTAATTTTTCAATTTATTAATGAATTGCCTCTAATTTAATATAATGTTGACAAATAACCTTTCCCGTATCGCCGCTCCAAAAATACGACTTGCCGAATATGTGTCGATATTGTCGACCCGCGCGCAGCAACATACTTTTTTTTCTATCTATGTATGTAATTAATATTATTTTTTTAAATATTACAATTAAAATAATTAAATAATTATTCTTACAAATTATGAATTATCCACCCAACAGTAGAAACTACAGTCAATAAAATTATGATAATTAAAAATATACTCAAAAAGAGTTAAAATAATTTGTATATTAATTTTACATATATTTTATACTCTGTATATACAACGGAAAATATTTTATAATAAATATTATTATTAATATTAGTAACTGAATTATATTATATAGTAATAAACTTTATTTATAGAATACGTCATGGCTAGGTTAGGTTAGGTTATAATAATTTACATACAAAAAGTAATGATATCCCACCAAAAACATATATGTAAAATGAGAGCCAAGTTCAATACTATAATATATGCCTTGATTGTTGACTTCAACGACAAAAGAAGTGAGATCTAAATGGGTGCCAAGTTAGGATAATATATTGAAGCCTAATAAGGTCTGACTTGGCTACGAATTATATATTATAGCATTTGCAAGTTCTAAAGCTTTGAGTTCTTATTTTATTCTTCGGAAAATCATCTTCACTCTTCCATTACTGTTTTAGTAGGTACCTACTTATAATAATAATTCGTATATGAAAAGTAGCCAAGTCACACCTTAGGCTTCAATATATTATCCTAACTTGGCACCCATTTAGATCTCACTTCTTTTGTCATTGAAGTCAACAATCAAGGCATATATTATAGTATTGAACTTGGCTCTCATTTTACATATATGTTTTTGGTGGGATAAACAATACTGGAGAGCATACACTGATACTGAAAACGAGCCAAATTTTTAAACGCTTCTCCCACAGTCCCACCGGCCACAACTGCAGGGCAAGAAAATATCAGACATCAGTTTACAATTTACATTCTAACCTAACCTTTTTATAGTGATTTAATATTAATTAATATAATATAGTTAATAGTGTTAATACGATTCGGCAGTTCGGCGTCGGAAATCGGAATTTCGTTCAAGTTAAAAATTAAAACTCTTAGGTACCTAATTATTACAAATAATAATATGGTTGTATCATGTTCAGGGTATGGGTGTACAAATAGGCGACAGAAAGAAAACGGGATACATTTCCATCGGTAAGTGTAATACATATTTGAATATTTCTATCAAAAATCAAAATCTCGTCCCATAATTTTCAACGAACACACTTTATAATTCTAGATTTCCTCTAAAAAGACCAGAGGTTTCAAAAAAATGGTTACATGAAAAAATGGTTACACGAAAAAATTTTACACCCAACCAGTACAGCTATTTATGCAGTGAACATTTCACACCTAGTTATTATTTAAATGAATCTCGTCCAGAGTTAGATAAGAAGTTGCTTAAAGATGAAGCAGTTCCATCAGTCTTTAAATTACCTCAGCATTTACAAAAAAACAAAAAGCTAGTCGTCCACTACTTCAAAATCATCAAAAAGTTAGTCTATTTTTAAAAATGTAATTGTATTTTAAAATTATCTACCTACACTATACATACAATTTATAATATACATACTAATATATTATATAGGTACTAGTATTATTTTATATACTGTATTATTTTTACATCTACTAATTTTCCAATTAATTTACATACTATATAATATATTTTAGTGTACCTATAATTATCAATAGTGATATAATGAATTATTGTTTATATACCTACCTAGGTATAAATAATATTACTTACTACTTAAATATATATTTTTTTCGATTGCTTAAAAGCAGCGTTTTTATTTTAATTTCATTATGTATACTCAGATACCTACTTAAGTATAATAATTAATAATGTATACTAATTTATTAAATTTGTTATAGGCCAATGATCAAAATAATATGATTCATGCAGAACTAGTTAATGAAGCTGGGGAAGATTCATCAACTAATACCATGGTATTATCAAATTGTTTAATTTATAATTTATTTGGATTTTAAGTTAATACTAATATTAATAAGCTCTTATCTGGTAAATGGTAATTAATAATTATCTGTTGTTTGATATCTAATGTTTGTAGTTTTACCAGAGTGAAACATCTCACCAAAAGGAAGATAAAATAGTACAGTGTAATATTAAAACATTTAATAAGAAATTGTACCAAAACAATATTAAGATACTACAACAACGATTGAAAAGAAGAAATAGTAAAATTAAATCATTAAAAGGTAATTTTAACTATTTACATGTATAACTATATATTTTAGATTTTTTAATCAAGATTTTTTTAGATCTGAATTTAAGAATTAAAAAAGATGTTACATCTTCTGATGAAGTAACGCAAATGCTGGAAGACAATTTTGGTGGGTTTCCATTAACGTTATTACTGCATGAACATAAGTATAAATGCTTCATAAGAAGGGTGTATGCTATACAAATGCTATGAAAGACTTTGCTAATCCCGATTAAATATGGTCGCAATCTACACATACTCCAGACCACTGCCATTAGCTCCTGCTTGCTCGAGTGGTAATGTCGTTCAGCTGAGGTAGTCTTTTTTGATACAGCATGCACCAAGTGTAACCTCTTATCTTCACTTCGTTGAAGCAACATGCCACTCAGACCCACACTGCTAGGGTCACAGTGTAGTTCAGTATCCGCATTAGGGTTGAAGACTTTGAGCACTGGTTTACTGACCAACCTGTCCTTCAGATTGTTGTACGCTTCCTCCTGAGACACTGTCGTGGAATTGCTCATTATCCCGAAGTAAGTCGCTGATTGGTCGGGCTATCTCCGCATAACGTGGAATGAACCTTCTGAAAAACCCACATAAACCGAGGAATCGTCTCACTTCATGTTTGTTTTTAGGTTTTGGATATTGTTGTATGGCTATGGCCTTTTGATCACCAGGTCTCACTTCAGCTGCTGACAACATAAATCCTAGATATGCTACTTCAGTGCATCCAAAATGACATTTACTCAACTTGAGAGTCAATTTCGCTTCTCTAAGTGCATCGAATACTTGACTCAGCCGATTTATCAAGTCCTGGAACGATGTTGATGGTACCAGAAACAACTTTTAGTGTAACTCTAAAACAAATGATCGTATATACATGAAATTTTCACTGCTTGTTTATATTTGCATTTTCTATACATGATAAAATTTTCAAAATATTATGATATGTTTTTAACTGTTTAGTTACATTTGCGGTTTCCCATTTTATTAGATTTTTCTATGAATGTCAATAAAACTTTATTTGTTGAGTAAAAATACTTGAAAATTTAGTACAATGCTCCTTCTATATTGTTCCAAACTTACAATGACATTTGAAAAATATTAAAAATCTTTAGTCACAGATTTTTTTTATAAGCATTTAAAGTTCAAAAATTGACAAAATATGGAAAAATCACAAAAATTAGCAAATTCTTTTGAGTTAAGAATTCATAAAAATTTTCTTTTTAAATCTAAGATTTTTAAATGTAATACAAGATTCCCTATAAGATTATCTACCTTTATAAAAAAAAAAAATGTCTACCGGAAGTTGAAATTAAATTTTTGTGAGCATTTTAAATTCATATTTTTACAAAATGTGTTATTCACTCGATTTCTCATGTAACGATTTTCTTATTTTGTTATACTTGAAAAACGAATAACTGTAGATATATGACAATTTCACTGAATGTTTATATTATCAATTCTTTTACTTGATAAAATGTTCAAAATATCTTGACACTTTTTGAGCTGTTAACGGGCATTGTCAGTTTTCAATTTTTTTACTTTTTTTTTCTATGAATATCAATGAAGTTTGATCTGTTGGGTCAAGAAGTGTAAAATTTTAATACAATGCTCCTGATATATTGTTACAATAGCAGTTGAAAAATATTAAAAATACACAAGCACAGTTTATTTTTATAGTAATTTTAAGTTCATTTTTGGACGAAATTACATATTAAAAAACCTAGCATTTAGTTATTTTGTTGTGATTGTATAATATTATTTGTGGGTACCTACTTGAAACTTCTAAAGTGTACTATTATGTATCTATGATAGTATCACATTTTTTTGTTGATGTATAACGCATTATAAGTACTTATTGGATATTGTGATATGATTAATATTTAATTTATTATAGGTACCTATTATAGGTCAATATTTTTTTAATACCATAGAAATGTATATAATATGTCTGAAACCTTGACTGACATACCGTCTCCGCTCAGAATCGTTTTTCTTATACAATGATATTATATCATTGAATTCAAATTTAATACCATCGATTATACAGTGACCCACTTGTAACCTACTGTACAGCAGAGCACCTTTTTTGGCTTTTATTAATTTTTAAATAGTTAAACTATGCTTAAAAATTGTTTTGTTTTTGTATTCCTAGTTTACTTCAAAACTCTAGAGATTCACAAAATGATATTTAAAGTATTAATGAGTTTCAAGATTGGATGGACTCTAAAAGTCACCTCAGAAAGTACATACTCACATCTCTTATGGTTTAATTTATGAAAATTCAACAAACATGTCAAGGTAATGTTACACTACAATAATAATTTATTTTAATTAAACATAGTTCCAATTTAAGCTAAAATAATTCAACCAGTGCCTAGCTATAATTGTTGCTATAAAATCATGTATTTTGTGTTTTTTGTTATGTTTTTATGAGTAGTATACTTCAATATGATAATGACAATATGAGATACACAAAATAAAAATATTTCTTAATATTAGTATCAGATAAATATATAATTATTGAAAGCCTGCATGTATTAATAACAAAATAATAACGGAGTAGGAACTAGAAACACCTTAATGTTTTATGTTTATACATTAAATGTACTAAATATATAATACTAATTTTCACTGAACAAATTATTTTTGTATATTATGTTATAATATTGTACTATGTTTTACTATTTTATTAATTTTTATATTAACCTTATGGAAATACTAAATAGACTAAAAGTGTATTGCATAAATGCAAACATGTTGCACAGAGTGCATGCGATACCTAAGAATACCCAAATTACATTTAAAATGTATGTCTTTTAGTAATTATAATATAAGATAGTAAATACACCAAAATGTAATTTAATAACAAAATTAAAATAATTTGTCATGTTATAGATTAGTTGAATAATCATCTTGTGAAGAATCACCATCAGAAAAGGCACCAATCAAAATGGATAATAAGTTTACCAGAAAAAAACAAAGAAATCCCAAAAATTGGAAACAATCAATCAATAATGATTTGACTGAAAAAGGACTTGAACATGTATCTACTACAGTGTCAGCAGAAATGATAAAATTTTATTTATACTTAATTATAAATCCTTAATTACTTCAAAAAGTAAAAATAAATCAAAGGACAAAATTTTACCAGTATAATTAATACAAAAGTGATACATTATTCATTAGAGTCTGCAAAAAATTTTTCTTAAACACATTATGTATTAGCCAAAAGGTTATTTATAATTGTCATTCATCAATGAACCCACTATCATTAACTCCGTCTGATGAAAAGCGAGGCAAGAATACAACTAGTCATATTAAAGCAGAGGACAAACAATATGCCATAGACCATATATTATCTAGTTTCTCTACTGTTGAATCACATTATTGCCGACATGATACAAAAAAGCAATATTTAGATTCTGAGTTGCACATATCAAAAATGTACAATCTATATACAAATAAATGCTTTATAGATTAGAACCCTAGAACGCCGGTAAAAGCTCACCTGAATAGATCATTATTTAATTGTAATTTCAACTAAGGATTTTTCCTTCCTAAAAATGATTTATGTGCCACATGTGAGGAATTTAAAGTATCAAGTAATAAACAATGTCAGTATGAAGAACACATGCTTAAAAAAGATACTACGAAAATGGAAAGAGATAAAGACAAAAATAGATGTGATCAAGAAAATGCAGTTGTTTGTTTTAACTTTCAAAATGTAATCACACTTCCAAAAACAAATGTCGGCCCAGCGTTTTATAAAAAAAAAATTAAATTTTTATAACCTGACAGCTCATTTGTCTATTTCCAATTCTATATTTTATGCTATTTGGAATGAAACAATTATTGGTAGATGGGGTAATGACCTTGCAAGTGCGTTTATTAACATATTACAACATATTGTTGATAATAATTTGGATATACTAAATATTGTTACATGGTCTGATAGCTGTGTGCCACAAAACGGCCATTATTGGGTTTATGTTGAAAAATCCCAAAACAAAATCAGTTACAATGAAGTATTCAGTTCCAGGCCACTCGTGCATCCAAGAAGTGGATAATGCATATTCACAGAATGAGAAACATATAAAAAAAATAGATATTTGTTCACCATTGTCATTAGTTAGATCTTTAGTAAAAGTCAACTCAAAAAAACCTTTTATTGTCTTACATATATCTCTAAATAAGTTTAAAGACTTTAATAAGGTGTCAAAACTACCTATATAACTTTCGGCAAATACCATTTTTTAAAATTTGTTATTTACGCTTTAATCAAGATTCACTTTCTGAAATTTTGTTTCCTAACCTAACCTAACAACAGAATAATTATACTGTAATTTTATGGTTTCAATAATTGATGGTTAAACATTTTCATTTACAGCGCTGTAGTTATTTTATTGTTTGTGGTAAAGTGCAATTATATAAATTATTCATTGCAGAGGACACAGTCGTCATTAAAAATTCCAAAATTTCAATAAGCAAAGCAGATATGAGCAAAAAACTTACTGCGTTCCGTATAATTTTATTTTTCATAAATCACAATATTTTAAGTTCTGTATATTATGGAAATTTTCCTCGTCAGCCTCGCAGTGAACACATGTCACGGATTCCGCCGAAAGAATCGATGTTTAAAGTAAATTTGTTTTCATATTCTTTTGGGGCTTAAATTTACTTTTAAGAATTAAGATAAATATTTAATGTCACGAAAAATGTGTTATTGTAGACGCATATTTTATAAATTGTTTTTCCATTCCCCGGTCGTAGAATAATTGTAATTAATAGGTGAATATGAAAATTGTTTACTTGAAAAAGACATATGTTTTGGTTTAATTTATAGAAATATATGTTTTAACTGATAATTGTCATAAAATACAATTTTAATTTATAACTGGTCATTTTTTTTCAAATCCAACGTTATAAGTTATGGGTAACTATATTAACTTAGTGTAACATAGGTACTCAACTTCTATTGCTCTCCTAATATCTATATCATAGGACTCGTAGATTGTGATAAATTTTGTAGAAATTTGAACTTTAAATGCCTATAAAACAAAACGTGCTTATGTATTTGTAATATTTTTTAACTTCTATTATATCAACTTACGAGGAACTTTGTACCTATTATTTTTAAGCTTTTTGACCCGACGAATAAAATTTTAATGACATTTATAGAATACAGAACTAAAAACATTTCATAACTCAAATATCTTTAATAAATCACTGAAAACGAGTCGAAATATTTTGAACATTTTATAATGTATAGAAAATGGTAGTTTAAACATTGGATGGACATTTTAAATATCGACGGTTAATAGTTGTTGAATAACAACAAAATAAGAAAATGGTTTTACGTGAATCATACACACATTATTGTAAAATCAAAACATTCATTGCTCCCTTAGTCCGCTCTAAAAAACAAACTAAGACATAATAGTTAAGTAGGTATAATACAAATTAAACATTATACATATAAAATGTAATAGGTATCCGTAACGCTTAGGTCATAAGAATA